TTTTTTTAAAACACAAATCCTTAAAATCTAAGTCTTTTTCACCCACACAACAGACTTCCTCATTGCTCTTACAACCATGTTGGTGACTTTTGTTTACTCTCTTATTTTCCATGTAACATATTATTAAGTGTTAATTGAGTTAATTCATTTAATTAAGTTTTATTTTCAAAACTTGGTTTGTGAAATTTTTTATTGTGTTGTTTGGATTTGTGAAATTTTGATTTATTCTTTGTATTATACAATATAAATGATGTTTTGGTCCTTTTGGTTATTTTGGCATATATTGTAAGTTTGAATTTTTAATATATGTTTTATGTACACATGAAATCCTGGCTCCGCTATTGCATATAGTCACAACTAGGGGTGGGCACAATTTCGAGTCAACCCGATCAAATCGCTCAATCCGATCATAGTGGGTTGGATTGGGTTGGTTTAGCCTGAAAATTAACGGGTCTTAGGTTCAAAAAATCATAAATTGTTATATACGGGTTGGAACCAAAACTTAAAAATATTCTTAATTTTGAGTAAACCTGACCAAACCGCCCAACTCGATCACAAAAAATTTGGGTTAGGTTGAGTTGGCATAATAATGAGCGTATCTTGAGTCCAAAAAATTATAAACCGCTATATATCAGGTTGAGTTACAAGTTGGGACTAAAACCAACTCAACCCAATCCATCCCCACCCCTTATCACAACATCATGGGTTCAACAACAAAAGAGCTAAATAACTACAAAGCAACAATAACAAAATGAAAAGAATCACAACAACCATTGCAACCATTAAATACAAAAAAATTAAAGAATAAATTTACAATAAATATTCAACTTGGCAAGTGCCTCTTCCAGTGTAATAATCTTGAGGATGTTTTCATTCATCTATCAAATTATATGTAAAGATCATTGTAACGGTGAGATGGAGAGGGTTCATAGAGAGCAATCTAAAACCATTGCAGACTATTTACTCCAAGCCGCATGATATGCCTTTGCACAAAAACGCAAGTCAGCTGTCAGCAAAAAGCAATTTGATGCATTGTTGACTTTCTCTGTTTTTATAGAGCGGCACTGGCAAAAAGCCTCTTGCTCTGATTTTGCAGGTGCAGAGAAAATGTCTTTGGGGCGCTTCCTCTTGGGCTATTTCCAGTCCGATCCCTAAATCTTTGTGAGTTTACCACTTGCCTGCCCTCAACTCAGAGCTACTCAGTCAATGACTTGACATGACTAGCATCAGTAAGAAGAATAAGATAAAGCTCTATGTCTTTGATAAAGACGACTTGGGCCCCACACCAAAACTCAGGTCGGCCCACATGCTTGGCAAGTATTGACAGAATTCAGCTTCGACAAGCGTGTTGAGCGTGAACAAAACTCCCACGTGCCTTTCATTCCATCTATACGAAACTTTAATAAAAATCTAGGCCTCCCTTTCAAATGAAAAAGATGAAATCTCGTTACAACAGAAAAAAAGAAATCCCTTTTTAATTTTTTGAGAAAAGGGGATAATATTTTATTGATGAGACAGATTAAAACAGTTACAAAAAAATCAGGGTGTAATCAAGAGAGATTAGACGAGCTGTCTCTACATATAAGGATTCAGTCGTTGGATTAACTGCATAGTCCCCTCAACTACAAGCGGGAAAAGGAACCTTGACCTAAAGGTGTTAAACAGACCAGGCCAATCTGAGTACAATACGAACAAAGCCCGTTTAAGTAAGGCCTAGCACGCTAAGGTCCGTATCTTTCTTTGGATGGGCCAAGAGAAGGTAATTAGGCCTAACGAGTGGGCTGGCCCATAGCCTGTTTCGGGATGTGCCAGCCCGAAACCCAACATGCGCGGCTTGTTTAAAGCTTATTTATTAAATTATATTTATTTCAGAAAAAAATACAACTTAATATTATTACATTTATATCTTAAATAGAAGTCTATTTCTTTATATATATATATATATATTAAAATGTAAT